GAGTTCTCTTCTTTGTTATGTTATATTCCAATGCAGTTCTTAAAATATTAAAGAGCAATAAAATAGTTTTTAGTAATAAATATAACTATTTTACTCTTTTATCATTGTTTAATGTATTTTTTTAATTTGGCCTAAATTTTTTTGCTTGTTTGAAAGTCGATTAATCAAGATAGTCTAATTTCCCAGTAACACACGTAACATAATTTTGCATTTTTTTCTGTAAAAACTTTAGTAAAAAAGAAAATTTAAAAATTTTTTGTTTTATAAATTAAGAAGGCAAGATATGCGACGGAAAAAATTCTCGAATTAAAACTGCCAATAGTTAAAATTTTATAATTAATTTTATTCAAGGTAACACACGTAACGAGAAGTTACGCGCGTTACTGTTATGTGTGTTAGAGGTACTTATACACTTTAATTATTTATTTATTTTCAATAAAAGATTTAAATCATGTTCGGACATTTTTTATAACCGCCGCGCAACNTTATTGTTATATTTTTTATATTTAATTGTCTTTTAATGTGCCATTGGAAATAAATTAAAAATAATAGTTTTTGAATCCTTAATTTTGTGTAATGGAACACTCTGTAAAACAAAACTTTGGTGTTAAGTAGCTGCCACCATTTCTGGTGTTCCGAGGCAGAAAAAGTTCTTACATTACAGGAACTACATTCAAAATTTATATTTTTTGTAATACACTTTTGCTCGTTATATTCTGACGGTCTAAGATGTATGATCTGTGACACACAAGTAATCATCGAAAATCCCCTACTCCCCACATTTGTTTATTTATTTATTTATTTATTTTTTTTGGGGGGGGGGGTTCTAAAAATATCTGATAAATTTCCGTGCTTTTAGTGATAATGAAAAATGTAGTTCTTAAAATATTTATTTTCTTACACTCTTAGCTACTGCATAATTGCATTAGTCATTTTTTATTTGTTGTACTGAGCTTAAAATTAGTTTTTATTAATTTTGCTTATTACTATTCTTTAGTGTACTCTTAGTATAAAAATATATCTATTACTAAATTGCAAAAATAAATTATTGGAGATTAACAACAAAAAGAAATATTTTTCTTACATAGGCATATTTAACAAAGAAAGTAAAATCTTTCAATTATAAACAAAGTTTTTCTTTAATCTTTTCAGCTACGTTGCAACTTTTCTTTTATGATGTTCCGCTTTCGTTAAAACAAAAGATAGAAACAGAGTACGGTAAAAAGCTTAAGGAATCAACTTTCCCAATTATGATGTTCTAACGTAATTTATGCGAGTTTTCGTTGAACTATGATTTCTTTTTTTTATATTTGGAGAGCTCGTAATTCAATAAGATTATTGTAAGTCCTTTCCTTTACCCTGTTAAAGCTATATTACTTTTCCTTCATTCATAGGACTTGTATAAGAGTTTAATGGTTAACGTTGCAAGGAAATAATTAAATCTCTTGAGAATTTACGACAGTTTAATGGTTCAATATTTCTTTGCACACTATTTTATTGAAGAATGCACTGGGATGTATGCAGGTCTAGATAAGCGATTCATAAATGATAAAATAATATATTGTTTTTCTTATTAGGAAGGTTTTCCTTTTTAATCAATTATTCCTGATTATGGCAAACAATATTTTTGAAATAGCTTAACTATCACTTTTAAAGAAATGAAAGTAGCTTAAAACAGGTGCGTGTAAGAAAATGTAGTTTAATATGTTTGTTTGAGATATAACTTCATATGCTCGTTTCGTTTAAAAAAACGAACTTTGATCAAAAAGCACGTTTGTATTATTAACAAATTTCGATTAAAAAACTTAGGCTTAGCATTTGAATTTTATTAGAATATTATATTGAAAAAAATTAACTAGGGAATAATGATCATCCGTAGTCAATTAAAACATCGAAGGAAGTTTATTTAATATACATCTTTTCAAAAAGTTGCGAAAGCTTTGAGCTCATTGTTTAACATCTGAAAAACACAGTTTGAGTTACGTTGCTTCAGTAAGGATTTTGGAAAATTAACAATAAAATATGCTTTTATAATCTGTGATAAATTTAGTGAATGCGATAATTTTATCATGATGCTTTAGAGCATGGCATAAAAACCATTTATTCGGTTATATCTAATTTTTTGTTTTGTATTTTGTATTTATACTGAATGTGTGGTAATACGCACTACAATTTAAAAAACCAGAATCCGTTGTGATGAATGATTAACATATGAAAGGAAAATTTAGCAGAAGAATGGCTGAAATACCGTATATTTTTGTTCTTTTAGCACAAATATGTTTTTTTTTAATCAGATCGTCTTTACCATACGGTATGGCATTGTAACATTTTTTTTTCTGTACATATTTATACTGTCTATATTTTTCACACGTTTTAAGTTATGTTCTTTCTCTAAATGCACATTTGAAGGTAACTCTTTAAAAAATAAAGCTACGCGCATTTTCTTAACGTTCTTTTCGAGTCTAGTTCAAGTTAAGGAGTTCTCCACTTAAATATACTTAATAACAATCAATTTTTTAAAGCTATGTAAAGTTAGGTTTATGTACAAAAACATGAGTAGACTAGACTATGTTGTGCCATAGTTAAGAATATTACGCACTTTGAGAAAGTTTATTAAACGACGTTTTGATTTGAATCAGCACAAAATTTGGAAAATACAAAGCGCCGTGAAACAAACGCTTACCTAAAAAGGTGAAGTTTAAAGAAGACTAATATAAAATTAGATAAATTCACCACTTTCAGTAACTATTTTGCATATCGAGTTAGTTTAAAATTGTGAAATCAAATAACTATAAAAAAACACCATCTTGCATCTTTACAATCTTAAAAAAGTAGGGTTGAACATTAGACTATATTATATGTATTTCGAACTATTATTTGATCGCATCTTAATTTTGGTTTTGATTGGAACCATGCTCATGTTCGGTTTTAATCATAGTATCTTGAAATTAAGTTTCAGAAAAATGAAATAACCATACAGTATGGTAAAGATACTTCTGGGGAAAAAACACATAATTCTGGTTTATAAAATCAAAATATATTGCATGGTAACGGTCTATCATACGATATATCCATGGTAACATTTTTAACTGCAAATCTGGTTTTTAAAATTATATTTCTTTTACCAATTATTTATCAAATATTCAAAACTGAAAAGTAAATGTTATCAAATAAATGAGTTCTATGCCATGACCCAAGATTTCAAAATAAAATTGTCAAATTCTACCACATTTACAAAATTTTATCACATATTACAAAACCGCATTTCATTGATATTTTTTCAAAAATCATTACCTAAGTGTTTTGGTAAAAGTTACCGAACATTTTAGTATTTCCGGTAAATTTTACCATATTCTTGTAGTTTTGACCATACTTTTTTTTAGTGTATTATGATTCAACGTAACACAGTTTAAATTGCAAAAAATTTAAGGCATATTATAATTTCACCGGTTCCAAAATTTCAGTCAGACTATTTCCTTCTTAAAATCTATAAAAATAGAACATATTTGATGAGCAATTGCCAGTCATAAACTGGTTAAAATAGCTCTCATGTAAAACTGAAAATCTTAAGCACAAACTGGCTGATGTTTTGAAAAAAAAAACACAAATTTCATTTAAGTTCTGGCAATCAAATTGTTTAAAAAGCATTTTTATAAGTTGGCAAAATAGTGATGATATATGCAATTGCTTCGTTTTGATATTAAATTGTAATTATTTCGATGATTTTATCCTCTGTAAGAGAATTTTTCCTTCAAAAATATGGTTTTTGAAGTAAGACAAAACGAAAAAGTTCATTGATTTGCTTCTTCATTGAAAAAGCTTCTTTTAAAAGAAAGATAATTATTTATTGCCCTCGCTATTTTTATAAATCAATATATCTCAAAAGGAAACTCCAAAAATATTGAGTTTTCTAAAATATTTTAACTTCTCCTCGTTATAACTAATAACTTGTTTCATTCATTATCCTTGTCATATTCCTAAAATAATGATAATAATTATTTCTGATCACATATTAATCAACATTACTTGTATCCAAATAATTTTAAATATCCATAATATTAAATATAAGTTCCATTAAATTTAACTAGGAAAATTCTAATAAAAGTGAAGATATAGGAAATAATGAGCCAAATTAATTAAAGTCATACTGCCTCTTTCCCTTTGGGTAACTTTACATTATTATTTCTGGTTTCATATCATTGTCTTTTATAGTTAAGGATAACTTCCGAAGTATAAAACAAATAAAATAAATCTTGTTAATTTTGAAACATAATGTGCAAATTTAATAAGAACCTAGGACTTAAAGAATAAATTTGAGATTTTTATTATTGCATACATGATCTGTTTTTAAATTACAAATACTCGTGTCAGTAGACTTTACATAATTCATATTTAAAATATTCAAAAATTAACATGATTCAGAAATATTTCTTAAAATTGAAAACTTATATAACTTCAATAGACTTATATAACTTCAAACTTATATAACTTCATTATTATTTCTGGTTTTATATCATTGCCCTTTACATACGTAATGACTACTTTGATTTAAGTAAATGATTAGAAAATCAAAGAAAAATGATAATCTTTGATTTTCTAATCATTTACTTACATCAAAGTAGTCATTACGTATGTAAAATTTAATTTCAATTTGACGACTCCTTCTTGGTGCGCTAATTTTTTTGTCCATGAGTGTATATCCTGTATTATCTCTTTTGACGTATTAACTGAATATGTATCGCAGCTGATGTATGAGTTGAACATGCCTCCTATATCCTAAAGAAAGAAAGAAAAAAAAGCACTGTCACTTGTTTAAATTCTTACAAAATATTTTTTCCCATCTGAAAGGTTGCAGTACCTCTTCAGAGCTAGGCATTAAATATCGAAACTATAGAGAATAAAATAAAATTCTTCTTTATTTTTTCGTTGATTACCGAACAACTTATGTTTAAAACGTTTAAATCCTTAATAAAAATCTATTCCAACAAATTTGATTTCAGGTGATAGATTTAGTATATTTTTGACTGGCGAGCTTCATATAAGAAGAGCAGATCACTCTGATGGTCATCAGAAATATCGATGTGAAACCAGACATCGTTTAACAGGTGAAACTGTTCGAAGTGCAACATCGGGAAGATTACTCATAACAGGTAAGAACATTTTTTTCCCCTTGATGTCCATCATTCGTGCCTTATTTATTATTTCTTATTATACAAAACTTAGATGTCAAGAATTATAAAAAAAAACTAAACTTAAAACTTGTAAAACTTGAAGTAGTTACAGTAAACTTACTTAATAAATAATATTAATGTCAGAGGAAGTTTACTTTTACATCCAGGAATTGTTCAAAACTTCCTGCTTTCAAAAATACTGTACGTTTTAACTTTTTACGAGTTTTGTCAATTATTTTATTCTCCAGAAAACTACCTAACTGCAAGTATTACTTAAATAAATCTCAATTTCTGATGTAGTAACACGTTATTTAACAATAGTCCAACGAGAACTAGTTTTTGGTTGCAAACAGCTTCTTTGGTTGCAATCAGCGTAGGATTGCAACCAAACAAGGGATTGCAAATAAGTTTTAAACTGCTTCTGACAATACTAAACAAAATTTCATGTAAACACGAGTTGGATTGCAAACAAGTTTTAAACAGCTTCTGACAATGCTAAACAAAATTTCATGTAAAAAAAATTTGGATTAAGAATTCAGCATGAAATGTGCTTGTTTAAATCTTATTTCTTACGTTATTTAATTCTTTCATTTTTTCCAAATATTTTAAAAACGGTAAATATTTCTACGACATTGATACTTAATAACAAGAACTAGGCATCAGTAACTGTAATTCATTAAAACTGCGATTGCAAATAACCTTAATGAGCTGTAACCGCAATCAAACGATGACTATCAATTAAATCAATAAACGAATGAATGAATCAAATCTACGAAGCAATAAATAAGAGAATTAGCGATTTAAAGAATCGAATAGTAAATGAACCACAAGACGAAACGAAACAGAATGTCAACCATGCTACAAATAAATGAATGGATAAATCTATGAACCATCAGATCAATAAATCTATGAAGGAAAACCAAAGAGTTAGCAAACTAATAAATACGCAAATTAATGAGTCAGCTGATCCAGGAATAAGCAAAATAATGTTTTTAGTGAATCTATTATTAATAAAGTCAATAAACCAACCACTTAACAAATGAGAATCAATAAAAGAATTTTCAAATAAACTAATTACTGAATCATGGATTCTCTGGTTTTTGTTGTTACATTGATTTATAAATTCTCTAACTCATTGATACATCGGATTATTTATGAACTGGCTCATTGATTCGCATTCCTATTGATTCGCTTTTATCATGCAGAGAATCATTAAAAACTATCGTACCAAGAATGCTCTATCTTATTTTAACTAACTTTCACGTATTATAACCACTTCAACAACAAAATTACATTTCAGAGCACGTTTCATCGTGAATTGTGTAACTTACAGTTTTATAGATCTAGAAATTTCTTTTTTTAGAGACCTTTAGAGACGTAGCACCACGAATAACGGACAGCAAACGTCTATTAAAGGTTCCGGAGGGAGAAACTTTAGAGGTCCCCTGTGCATCGCAGGGGTTTCCTATTCCCACTTACGAATGGTTCAAGAAAAAGAACAGAGATAGAATGTTACCTTTACAGATAGGAACAAGGTTTTTACAGCTTGATGGAACACTTCTGCTTCGAGAAGCTAAAATAGAAGATTCAGGACATTACTTATGCAAAGTACATAACTCTGCGGGATCGGACTCAGCTGAAACTGAGATTTTAGTCACAGGTGAGTTATTTTTAGAACATATTGCTTCTCGTGCGTTTTATGATACTTCAAATAATTACATTTTATATTAGATTTAGACCTGGGGGACTTAAAACCACAACAACGTTTTGTATTAGCATTTCTTGTAATGTTTGTTTTAAAATTTTACGACAACTTTTCCTAGAGGGGATTGCTCTTTTCCTCAAAATTTCATCAGACATTAATATTATTTAACACAGTACAGAAAAATTTCATATAAAAATATTTTTCCAATGATTTAACGATATGAAAAAGCAAGAATTCATTATTTTATAAACTTACTGCACTCTCTGAAATAAAACTCTCACTTTTGTCGATTCAACAGTTCAGTTGTATTTTGTTAATTATAAGAATCATGTGATTTCGGGACGAATCATGTCATGACGTTCTTGTCAGGCGAAGCACAAACTCTCAAATATATGACAAAAATGTTTTCTCAATTCAGAGCCTCACTACCTCACACTACCTCAAATCTTTGAAAGTAATTCTTAATTTGACGAAACTAGAATAACGAAATACGAAATATTTCTTTCCCTTGGAAACATTTGAAAAATATCCATTTAATAATATCAATTCAAAAAAGCATACTATTCCTTACTAATGGTATTATAATTATTATAATAATTTGGTCAGGTAATGGCATGTAAGTTTCAAATAAAAATGCATTAATGAACATAATCACGAATAATAACAGCATCAGTAAGCAAGTTATTCAGCAGGAATTTATCTTTGCAATATATTTTTATTTATCTATTTGAAATACTTTTAAAGTATTTACTAGCAAATTCATTAGTTTTTCCAATTCCTAAAATGTTGATTAATTTCAGCATAGTTTATTTTCTCACCATAGGAAGAAGAACTGAAATGGAAACTTTTCAATTAAAATAATTTTACAAAACATAACCGAATAATTAATGTAAAATCAAAATATAGAAATAACAGCTAAAAAACTTAAATTTTACACAAAACAAATAAACATTTATTAGATAGCTATTTAAAAGCACATTTAAAAATAACAAGCAAAAATATTCTGCCTAAGACATTTAATTGCGCAATTGTACAAGTACAAATTCATAATATATATACAATGTATATCAATAAGAGAGTACGTAATATCAGAACATGTATGTAATCACTTAAAGTGCTGCTCGTATGAAAATTTAAAATTCTTTGACGGAACAATCCCAAAAAGCCTTTTTTTTAAATGTAGATGTTTAAAAATGTAATATTTACTAATACTGTAATTATTTTCGGTCTTGAAAGGGGCAAATTTATTCAATGTTGCAGAAATTGTTTATTGAACTATGAAAAGTGAAAATCGAAAGGTTTCTTAGATTTTCATAATTATTCACACAAAAATTTAGGAAAAAAATATTATTTTTTTGTAAAAACAGAGAAACATCAACGAAATTTTATAATTTAGAGCATAGTTCACTCAAAACTATTCGATGTCAAACATTTATACCATTTTCATAAATTTAAAAAAAAAATCCAACTCAACATATCTATTAATAACTATATAACCAAGTGTTTGAGCAAATACGAAAAAAGGGATAACATTTAAGACATCAGCATTTATCGAAATTCGATATTGAATGCAATTTAATAACATTCCCTAGTCATTCGTATCGCATGTTTACAACATCGATATCATTTTTAATTTAACTCAATATTGAATTGTTTCCAATTTCGCGTTTCACTATAATCTAAATTTTACTCGAAAGGGAAACCTCTTATTACCACATAACATGCTCATTAATCAATTTCTCAATAACAGATTGACCCCCTGCATTTCAAACATCGTTGATTCATCGCAAGTACACTTTCCATTCCCCCACACACACTCCAGCATGTAAATGAACACAGCTGCCACAAACCCATCGAAGCAGCACCATAGATATTGGCTGCATATTAAATGATTTTCCGAAAACCCCCTTCTGAACGAATCCGCAGTTTCGGTAACGCCGCGAGACATCGGAACCTTGTAAACAAGTACCACCGAATTACGAAGTACTGACCGTGCACGATAAATGGCGGGAATTTGAGAGGTCTTGGTGGCGCGTTTTAGGTTACGAAAAGACGAACACGGAGATTAATTAAAAGTGATTTTTCGTTACTCCTTGACTTCTCCTTTTTGAATAATTTCTCTGCGTCTTCTTAAAGCTGAAAAATGGTTATAATTTTCTCAGTTTACTGCGAGTTAGAAATTTGGGGAAGGTTGCAAATATGCAATGTATGTAAATTAAGATATTGCATTGGTAGTTTTCTGATTTGGTAACTTAAGAATGTTTTTCCTTATGATTGTGGATAAAAAACCTACGTACTCTCCTTTTAAAAAGATTTTTTTTGAAGCATAATACCTTAACGATAAAAACTTTCGATTTTTAGTTTTAATTATTTTTTTTTCAAATGGCAGGCACTGAACATTATTCTTCGCTTTAAAAGATTACCGGAATTGTTACTCATTTCACGTTACCCAGTGGGCACCTGTGAACCAAAGTCACGGAGGCAAGCAACATTACCCACGCCACACTGCCACAAATGCGTTTATAGGGTGGGCCACATTCACACATCACACACAACAGAGATCAGCACATAGTGAGAGAAACATCCATGCCCAGAGCGGGATTCGAACCCTCAGCCATTGGCTTCGCAGTCCGGCGTGCTAACCGCTCGGCCACCTGGCCGGCATGTCTTAATTATTGATTTCGCATTTTTAGAGCACAGTGATACATACTTGAGAAAGGTTGTTCTTTGCTAAATACATATTTAATAACATCCTCTTTTAGTATATACTGAATTTTATTTAGTCATCAAAATACTTTAGTTGAGGTAATGACTTTATTTACAACCAATATATTTAGTAGTCATGGTCATGTTTTGTCGTTCCTGTCTTGTTTTTGAATGCAGCTAAAATACACAAGTATATTTTTAAAAAAATTATCGAAACATATCATATCCAACAATTCAGGAGCATCGAAGTGTATCATTTCCAAAAAAAATATTAATTATATGAATTCAAGAATTTAACTCTTAATGTCTTAACTCAAGAATAAGAACTCTTAAATGTTCTTTCCTTTATAAATATATAACCATATTTAATCTTCCTTAACTCTCAACTCTTATTTAAATAAATAAATTAATTAATTAAATAAATAATGTAAGTAATTAATAATTTAGTCCAAATTATTTAAATAATAATATTAGATATTGTAGGATTGACTGAATTGGCTTCACTTTTGACTGTATCTCTTTTTATAACGTGCCTATAATGATATTTCCTGTACTAAAAGTGTCGATTGATTACTGGAATTTAAATTGGCTTATGATCAACAAGGTCGGAAGAATTCTTCCATGGAGTGGGAGCATGGTTAGAATGGGAGCTTGAAAGTCACTGAAATGTTCCTCGAACCAATCCATGACGATTCGAACCTTATGACATGGTGCATTATCCTGTTGGTAAACACCATCCCCCGCAGGAAAAACTGTTGCCATCACTGGGTGAACCTGGTCTGCAACTATGTTCAAGTGGCTTACAGACGTCAAGGATTGTTCTATGAGGATTATGGGTCCTAATGTGCCCCATGAAAACATTGCTCCTGTGCGAGAAACCATGAAAACCTGGGTGAGCCCATTGTTATAGATAGAGGGTGGTCATAATGTAATGGCTCTTCGGTGTATAT